TCTCTCCTTGCTTTATAAGACGGTTTAGATGGTAGGCACAATATATACTCACTCCATGACAACGTAGACATTATCGTCATCTTCGTATGCATCGTAGCACTGCACCAAGTTCTTATGTCCAGTGAGAGCTCGCAGTATTTTCACTTCTCTTCTCACATCCTCTATAGCTATTGCTGTAGTCATCTGCACATTATTTTCTTCTCATTCAACTTTCATTGAAACATGATATTGGGTTGAGCACACACACAATCATCTTAAATGCAAATGGAAGAAGTGGGGCTCCACGAACATTTCATTAAAGCAAAAACTCGCAGAATATAAGAGCTCAACCTCAAAATTCCCCACATTACACAAGAAAATCATGAGACACCATAAAATTACCCTAAATGTAAACGACCCAGATTCATTAATCCAATAACTAAGATGATGAACAGACATTCTCAACTTAGAAGTAGAATCATCACCTTTGATTTGGGGATGAGTTTGATAGCCACTTGTTGGCCTTTAAGAGAGCCTTTCTTTGCCCTGGCAGAGCAAGTGTAGCCAAAATGGCCGCGGCCCACTTCATCGCCAAGGTCATAGTAGGTAGCAAAGTGCTTGGAATAGCCGAAGTTCTTATCCAAGGCTACATCGCACTCACTTCCTTCAGGGATAGAAGCGGCATTGGGCTTGACGGAGCCATGGCGGCGGGCGAGGAGAGCCCGAATGTGCTTAGCCGGAGAAGGCGGCGGAAAGGGACGCTTGAAGAAGCGGAGAGGGGTAGAGGAGAGGCTGGAGTTGGCCGGAGACGAGGTCTTGAAGAGATTGGGCAGAGGACTGGGGGTGTAGAAGGGGAAAGTGGTCGGGGTTGTGGAGGTTTCAGTTTGGATGGATGAACCGAGATTTTCCGAAATGGGTTTTGGGTTATCTTCAATGGGCTTCCCATGACACAGTCCCATGGAATCTGAGATCCACTTGAACACACACACACACACAAACACAGACACCCAAAACCTTGATTCAGTGATTAGCAGAAGCGGCGCTAGTGCAATGTTGTGATTAGCATTTGGAATTGTGAGAAAACTTGGGGGAATTGCAATTAGAAAGGGGAATTTTAGAGTTGATCAGGAAATGGGGTTCATCCAATTCCGATGAATGATGATGGTGGGAAGAGAATAGGTTAGAAAAAACAGAGAGAAGCTCTGTTTTTGTTGAATTTTGAATGTTAGAAAGAGTGAAGAAGGGAGAAGAGCAGAGAATCGTTAAAGAAGAGGAGGAGGAAGAAGAAGAAGAAGAAGAAGAAGAAGAAGGAAGTGAAAGAAAAGAAATGAAAAGAGAAGGAAAAAATGGAAAAAGAAGATAAAACAAAAGTAAGGGAAAGATGCTTAGCAGAGGACACAAGGAAAAGAAAAGAACAGAGAGGGGTTACCCAAACCAAACCAAACCAAACCAAACCAAAACCAAATATAATATAATTATTTATTTATTTATTATAATTATAATTCACAATACAATAATCGAAGTGAGTGGGGTTCAGCTTGGATCCTTCCAGCCTGTCTTTATTCATCACAAAAACTGACATAAATGCTTCTTTTTTTTCTTTTTCTTTTTCTTTTTCTATTTAATTAAACTTTATTATTTTATTATTACTCTTCTTTAGTTTAATCGTAACAACTTTAAATTAAGCCTCCACGTAATCCCTAAATTAGGTGGCTTCTCAAAAAATTCTTAAAAACAAAACATGCTAAAACCACTCATGTTAGTCCGTAGAGATAGCCTTCATTATTGAAAACAAAAAATAAGTAACATGGTCATGTATATTTGAACCTTTGTTATAGATAAATATTTGTACGGTGATCTTAACAAATATTCTAATTTAAAAAATAAGGGTTAGATTTAGAATTAATTAGAATTAATTAGAATTAAACCTTATCTCAAATGAGTAAAAATATAATAAAAATAATAATATACACGTTAATCAGCAACTGTCATGATTGTAATCCATCCAATTTTCTAAGCAAATTAATGATTTTATAATAATTAATAATGGATGAATACGTCAATTAATTATTAAATATTTAATTCAATTATTGACTCCTCAAATAAAAACATACTCATTACTATTAACTAAATCAATAAATTATTTTTATATTCAATTATACAACGTTTCCTTAATTATGATTAGCGGGTTAATTAAACTAACCGAGTGGTCATTCTTCCTATTTTTTTTTGTTTCTCATTTTCTAACAACATTTCCAAAATTATTCACAACAGAATTAAGTTTCTCGTTTCTTTTATAACATAATTTTTTTTATTATTTTATTTTAAATAAATTATTTCAAATCAAATGTAAATTATTTTATTTAAAATTAGGTTTAATTAATTTAAATTATTTTTATGTAAAATAAGGTGAGCTAATTACCATAGTAAAAATTCTAATTTATGATGGTACGACTCTTAGTCATAGTTAAATTTGAGAGGGCAGTATTAACTAGCATCAAGAGGTAGTAGTTTCGGCCTAAGCCAACTAAGTAAGTGACTTTACTATCGACATGGTTGGAAGAGTTGTCTTATGTATGATGACATATGTTTGTTATGTTTGATGATATGATATGGTCTATATGATTTGCCTAGATATGCCAAGTGACATTAGAATATAAAGGAATGTCATATTATGCCTTGATGAATTATGATATGTTATGGAATGTCATGACATTATGTGACATGATTATGTTAGACCATATAAATGACATGCGATGAAATATTTGATACAAGGATATTTATGATGTACGACCCCTAAGATATGTTTTAAAGGTTATGCTATGAATGAAATGAAATCGAAAAAAAAGAACGAAAATTTGAACGAAAATTAAGAGAAAAAAAAGAACCAAAAAGGTTGATTCTCATGGGATGAGGTGAGCATGAGATTGACATAAATAGAAGAAGAAAAAAATAAAGAAAAAGGTGCCTTTGGGAGATGCCAAGGATTGGATTCCTATGGAATAGCTTTACCAACTTTTATAAAATAAGAGAGAGAAAATTGAAAATTTATTATATATATGCATATTATAAATTACTCTCTAATTCAATCATTCCATTATTCCTCGACAAATGTAGCTTTATAAATGTTCCTTTAAATCTGTGCATGGGGAGTGTATTTATTGTAGTTAAAAGTTCGAAAATAAATTGATTGTTTTATCTAAAAACTATTATTGAATCATTTTGAAAATTATATATAAAAAAAACTCATTAATTGTCCATATACTACACTTTATTTCTGTTCGTTTATTAAACTATTTGACCAATTAAATTATTTTAATTATAAAAGTATTTTTATTTACAAGTATATCATTTTTCATATAATATATAATATTTAAACTTGAAATAAATAGCTGATAATAAAAATGCAGAGTTGAGTAAGCACCTTGTCCCTAACTTTACATACCAAATACTTCGGGTAAATCCTTTCATATTTTTTAGGGTTACGTTTCTTTGATGTTGTTTACATAAATTTGGGAAGAATTTGATGCGTAGCTCACAAATGTAACGATTCGAGTTTGTTACCCTATGCATGCTACGTCATTTTAAAATGGAAGAATGAAAATATACACGTTGCAAATACAGGTACCTTTAAAATCAATCGTTAAATCAACGGAAAGCTTTACTAACCATGTATTGAGTTTGCCAAACAATTAAAAGAATGTCTAGATAACCTATCAATTGATCCAGACTAGCCAAGTCTTATGCATACATATGAGTAGTTGCTGTAAGTAAAATCAGTGATACTGTGAGATACTACATCGATTGGAGAAAGAAACGAGCGCCAATGAGGATGTTGTCTTAAAAAAGGGGTGGATTGTGAGATCCTACATTTATTGGAGAGGGGAACGAATGCCAACGAGGACGCTGGACCCTGAAAGGGAGTGGTTTGTGAGATCCCACATCGGTTAGAGAGGGGAACGAAATATTCTTTATAAGGGTGTGGAAACCTCTTTTTAGCAGATGTGTTTTGAAAACCTTGAGGGGAAGCTCGAAAGGGAAAACCCAAAGAGGACAATATCTACTAGTAGTGGGTTTAGGCTGTTACAATGGTATTAGAGCTAGACATCGGGTGGTGTGCTAGTGAGGACGTTGAGCTCCGAATGAGGGTGGATACTGAGCAGTGTGCTAGTGACGACGTTGGGCCCTGAAGGGAGGTTGATTGTGAGATCCCACATTGATTGAAAGAGAAGAACGAGCGCCAGCGAGGACACTGGGCCCCGAAGAGGGGTGGATTGTGAGATCCAACATCAATTAGAGATGGAAACGAGTGTCAGTGAGGACGCTATGCCCTGAAGAGCAGTGGGTTGTGAGATCCCATATTTTTTATAAAGATGTTGAAACCTCTCCCTAGCATACACATTTTAAAATCCTTGAGGTTCCGCCCAAAGGGGAAAATATCTACCTGCGGTCCAAGCATTTAAAAACCTTTAGGGAAGCCCGAAAGGGAAAACTCAAAGAAGACAACATCTGCTAGCGGTGGGCCTGAACGGTTACAGGTACAATCCTCGTACACATAAATAAGTAATTGCTACAAGGCCATATCAATCACGAAGTTGTACATTTTCTATACTTGGAGGTAGGTAACTACCAACATGCTATAACATATGATCCAATATAAATCTTATACACACAAATAAATAATAATTATAGTTCTCATACACACATTGGTATAATTGTCTTTATGTTCTAATGTACTTTACAAATATGTAATTACTACAATTCCTGTGCACATAGATAGATATTGTCTTCGGTTTGCATGCATCTAAAAGGTACCACAACGTTTAAAAGATCACTTTGAAGTTTGCACAATAATAGGACAAGTAAAAAATCAATGCATAAAACAATGAAATGCGTTTCAAGTCTTCGAATCTCGCTCCGACTGTAACTAAAAAGACAGATATAGGTAAATAAATGAAAGCAAAAACACGAAAAATAAGATAAAGTTTTGTGCGAATTAAAAACATACAACACCTTTGTCAAAATTCAAAAAAAATATAATGCAGGTACTGTTCAAGTTATTTACAAACGAAAAATGGGTACCAAATACAAAAAGTGTACAAATGCAACACATGAAAATACAGACTACACTGATGCCTCAAAACAACACCTCTCTTTGACAACACAGCTCCCAAGCACTCCGCTACCTTGACCACTACCTATGTTCAACTAAAAAAAAGAAGAAAAAATGGGTAAGTATAAAAATACTCCGTAAGCGACCTACTTGTAGACTCTCATTGCATCTCTTTCCTAGTAAGTTTGTACGAGCTTTTCTCTAAATCAATGAAGCTCGGGCATACCACATAGCTATCTGAGCTTTTTTCTAGGTCTTGAAGTTCCAAGAATATCAATTACAAGTCAATTACGTGTGGTCTCAAGTCTCCCTTCATGATCGGTTTCACAATGTTAGTCTTGACTCAGTCCCACACGCAATAGAATCTTTCATATTTAGTTATCTACTTGTGTAGTCCTAAGTCCCTCTCCAAGACCGGTTTATAGAATCTTGGGATCCATCTTGACCTGTTCCTACACGTAATAGAGACAACCACGTTTATGTCTGTAGTCCCAAGTCTCTTCCAAGATTGGTTTACGGAAATGCGATGTTAGCCTTGTTCCGTTTCTACACGCAATAGAAACATTTGCCTTAAATAGCTACATGTATAGTCCCAAGTCACTCCTCACAACCAGTTTACGAAACTACAGTATCAGCCTTGACCAATTTTTACACATAATAGTAGAGTTAGCTACCCATGTGATCCCAAGTTCGTCCTCAAGACCAATATGTAGAATCGTAACATCAACCTTGATCCATCCCCACACACAAGTGTAACTTAAATCATCTCAAAGGATTCCCCTTACACAATTCTTACTACCAATAAGATTGTTAAGATTCCTAAGTCTTCCTTGCCGTGGAGGTTTACTAGGTTCTTAGGTCATGTAGGCGGTTCAAATCTTGTCTCTCATTTATAGGACGTTCGAGACTAACACCTCAAGGTTATTCCAACATCTGGGTTCTCTAAGATATATACCTACAATTGCTGCTCACGATCCCGTGGTGCTCGATCTACTGGAAACGTACTTATCTTAGTCAACTCAAAACAACTTTAGCTCTAACACCCTAAACTTAACTTGGTTCCTACATGCTTTACTAGGGAGACATTCCTATTGTTCACCTAAAGCATGAAGAACATGTTCTAATCGTTCGTTCACCTAAAGCATGAAAAACATGCTCGGGTCAAATCGAATGTAGAGTGGTCCAGATGCAGGCGAACGGATCGGGTTGGTCGCCCGCGAATGGCGCATGCCAATCGTTCGTTGACATGCATCTTTTGTTAGGTCAGTTGCACAACACCGTCGAGAGTCTAACACGTGTCCCTCAACTTGTGTGATGCGTTCCTTTGCTCGTTCTATGACACATGTCTTCCTCTGGTTTGTCTCCCTGGCCTACGTTCATACGCTTCCAGGTTCAGATTAGTTTCACGTTACCTTTCTAACTTCTTTGAATTTTCACTCCCAAATTCGATTCATTTTTAATTCATCTCCACAAAGATAATTTTCTTGTAATTTGTAATCAACTATAGGCAAAGTAATTCAAAGTTGATAGAAACTACATTCTTACCGTTTCTTGACGAATGCCAAAACTCCTGGTGTGGTTCAATTCGAGCTTTCTTCATTGAAAATGTGTGAAATTCTTTGAACAATATCATATTGAAATTTCAGAACTTAATTCTTCCTGAATCTCCTAGGTCTGAAGAACATCGAAACTAAAAACTCAAAAACTTACCTTGGGTTCTTGCTCAATTTTATGATGGTTTAGGACGATCGAAGAGTCTAGAATAATTCTCCTTGGGTGTCTGAGTAACTTCTGTGAAGGAACCTTGCCCGAAATCGTACTTTCAATGCTGGTTAGAGAAGTTTTTCAGTTTCTTTCTCTTTTATTTATTTATTTATTTTTTTACTAACCCCTAATTAAACCACTTTTAGATATATGTTTAGGGATGAAAGTAGAAATGACCAAAATACCCCTAAGAGTTGACTTTGACCATTTTTCCCAAATTTAACACTATTTTCTTTTATATTTGTGATTTTCTCTCTACACTATCTTTAAATTCGGCTCCTAAGCCCCTTAATAAAATCCAAAATCTTGACTTTGAAGAAAAAATGAGAAATTAATTTCGGTCGGGACCCTAGTGATAGTTATAATACATATCTAACTTTGAAAACGTTGAAAATAAGAGTTAACAACAAGAGAGTTTCTTATCTTGAGTTAAGTCATAGGTTAACATTGCCCCAAATCCTCTCTACTAGGAAATTACTTGAAGAGGCATGATTAAGATTTCTTGTGGGAGAGTGAATGGATTAAGATAAACGTGATTGAATCACATGTGCAAGATTTTCACCTTTTGCTAGTAATCACTTCACTCGAGACTTATTTTTATTTTACTTATTAAATTTAAATTTTACAACAAATACGAATAAAACCCACATATCTATCCTCAAATAATCTTTTTTTCATCCATGTTCTACTCTTCAATCAAGTTAGTGGGAATTGAACTTGAATAACCGTCAGCTAAACTAACTGTATAAAGAGAATCGATGTCTTCTATCTAGTAAGCAACAAGTAGAAGTCGACCACCCCACACTACATCGATCCATTTGCAAACTTCCTTAAATAGAGAAGATAAGTGAAAACCCTCTTATTTTGAATTAGATAATAGAACTCTTCGTCCACGACTCCATGCCATATATTACATAGCATATAGCGTACTTATTTTATAATCATTTTGTTTTTTAATTTTTGTAAAAGGGGTTTTTTTTTTCTCAATTTTTTCTCCTTTTCTCTCTTCTTATATATATTTTTCTCTCTCTCTCTACAATGTTTATTTTATTTACTTCATTTCTCTCTCTTCTTACATATTTCAACAATCTCTATGTTAAATCAAATATTTTCCATTTTTCAAAAAAGTTCTCTCGAATAAATTTATCCTTGGAAAAGTTAATCAACCTAATTTTATTATTCTCAATAAAAAATTTCTTTAATTTATTTTTATTTTTTTTCCTAACATATCTTTTATTCTTAACCTTACTAACTCTCTAAAATTGTTATCTTTTTATTTATATTTTCTCTTTAAATAAACTAATATTTTATTTCTAACATATTTCCCTCTCAATATTTTTATTTCTAATTTTTTAAAAAAATATTAAAAAAATAATAAACAATTATGAAACATATATGTTTTTTATTTTTAAAAAATAGAAAATAGAAAAAGAAAAACCAAGAGAATAATTAAAGCCGCAAAATGAAGTAATAGGAGATAAAAGTTGATTTTTCAGAAAAGATAAAAAAATACCAATAAATTGGAATAAAAATTAATTCGTGTTAGATTCTTTATGTTGGATTAATATATATATAAGAAAAAGAGAGAATTAATTGGTGGTTAGATTGTTTTAGGAATTTATTAGGTAAAAAGGAAAACAAGAATAATGTTTCTTTTTATCAAACACTCGTGAATAAGAAGATATATATGATTCCTTAGAATAGTTCTAAAAATCAGAATATATCTCCAAAAATAAGTTTTACTATTCAATACTTATAATCCTACCCATTGTATTCGTTTCAACCGTACAAGATGATCTTTTAGTTATAACATTTTGTATTTAAGTATCCACCGACCACTGTTTAACTATGCATGTAAAGATAGGTCGTTACCAAGTGACTCTCCTTTTAATTGTTGAGCGCAACTTTTTGTAGCACTAAAAAAAGTAATTCTTATTCTTGGCATCCGAATAGAATAAAGTTAGAATAGAATAGAATGTATTTAAGAGAGAGAACAAAGGGAGCAGGGGAATGCAAATGGAATAGAATAAAAGTAAAAAGGATTTTGTGAACAAGTACAAAATTTGGAAAGTAAAAAGAGAAAAAAAAAAAAAAAGTGTCGTTATTACTATAATACCCTTCAATCACACCTTTCCCAGTCACAAGAATCCAAAGCCAAAATGGTTCCGCCAATCACGATGCGTTGCTCATTTAATTAAACCCATTACTCATAATAATTATACAAAAGAAATAAAAAGGTGCCATTCATTTGTCTCCCATAAATTTTGCTCCATATTTTTATCCTCTTCTATAGCTTTAGATGCTTAGACGTTGTATAATGTGGGTGATGATTCCATTTGGTGCATCGTAGAAACAAGGATCGAGGTTTTGTTCCTTTCATTTTTTTTTTTTTTGGAGTAGTACCATGATCTTTAACTATGACTATATCTTCGAGCTTCACAACTTCTTTGTTCGACATTTAAAGATTCAACTGATATAACTAAGTAATAATAAGGGCATGACTCTGATATTAGAGATAGGAATAACGACCCTCTCCAATGGTATGATACTATCAGGTAATAACCTAAATCTACCGCTAGCGGATATTGTTCTCTTTGGGTTTTTCTTTCCAGGCTTCCCCTCAAGGTTTTAAGACGCATACACTAGGGAGAGGTTTCCACATCCTTATAAGAAATGCTTTATTTCAATCTCCAACCAATGTGGGAACTCACAATCCACCCCACTTAGGGGTCCAGTGTTCTCGCTGGCACACCGCTCGGTGTCTAGCTCTTATACCATTTGTAACAACCCAAGCCCATCGCTAAAAGATATTGTTCTATTTGGATTTTCCCTTCCGAACGTAGTAGAATTGGTTGATCATAACAATAATCACTTAAACTCAATGGGCGTTAATATCAATGAACATTGTAACTCACCTTGGAATAGACAATTGAAAAGGGTTCAAATCAAGTGTGTGAAAAAGTCTATAAAGGGCGGTTTTATTGAAAGTTTTGTTTATGATGGAATGTATAATAAAATAATGTCACGAATAGAATATCCGTGTTTGGTGTTGCATGGAAAATGTTATTAGAATTTCATATAAATAAAATATTATCAATAATTTTATTACATTATTTTAAATAATTAACTATGGTTAAAATAAAATTTTCATTCGTTTAATAAACTTTTTTTGTAAAAATAAATTAGATATATATTAAATAATATTATTGATTTATTAAAATTAAATAATTAATTATAATAATTTTATAAACTAAGATCAATTATTCAAAATAAAAATAAATTAAGATATGCAATGATATGAAAATAAATAAATAATATTTTTTAGATTTTCATAATTACTTTTAACAATTTCAGTACATTAATTGATTTTAGATTAGATAATTAATGGTCAGCTATTAATGAGTATATTATAAATATTATGGTTTGAGGTTCAAGTTTATTTAGCCACCCATATTAATGATTATTCTCAAACAAATAATTTATATGAAAAATTAAAAAGAAAAACAATAATAAATAAAATTATAAAAAAATGAAAATAATCATATTAAAAATAATAATAAAGAAAATAAATAAATAACTGGAAGAATGAATAATACAAATAGAAAAAAAAATAATAATAACAAAAACGAAAATAAAACAAAGTATGAGTTTTAAAAGGCCATCCTTTGCATGGGCTTAAAAAGTGCAACAAATCTCTAGAACTATTGTGTAGCACTTGAGTCTTGATGAGAGCCTAAATTTCTAAATCAAATCAAGTAGAAGAGAAAAATACTTGAGAAAAATCTCAAGAACTAAATAATAATAATAATAATAATAATAATAATAATAATAATAATAATAATAATAATAATAATGAAGAATGGAGAAAACAGTTATAGAGAGGAAACCATCATCCATACTCAGATTCGAACACAAGGAGGCGTCTTCTAGTAACAACCCTTAACGAAAGTTACTTAGAGTTGGGATATCAAGTCTAGGCTATTGAATTGTCCAATTCTGTCAACAAACAAGGTAGATAAAGAGGTTAGAATTTTGAATGGTAGTTTCTGTTTTTCTTCAAATGAGAGAGGATTTTTAGAATTAGACTCTGAGTTACTCTTGAGAGGATTTTGCATAGGTTTTCTGAAGGATGTCAGAGTTCAATCAAAACGAAAATCGAGTTCTAGCAAACGTCAAGAAACTATAAGTTATAAATTTTAGATCGAACATAACATATTTATTTTATTCTATAATTATTATAAATGATGAGAAAAATATATTTTTAAAGATGAATTAGATTCTCCATAGTTTTAGTTAAAGAATCAAGTCAATTTGAGCTACATATAGAAAATTATGAAAATTCAAATAAATTAGAAAAGATTAAAAAACAAAAAAATTATGGTGAAAATGTGCTGAATGTCACAACCATATTATGAAAAGATTTGGTTGTGACCCTTGTCAAGACAAGTAAAACGGCAACCCTCAAGTGGCAACCATCCAGCCATGCGAGGGCTAATATAAAAAAAATGTTATGATGCAATCGAGGAGGACAATGCATCATCCAATACACCATATAATGTGTGCATTGAAGAAGAGATGAGACATAAACAAGATAAGGGGCAATGAGTAGACTTGAGTGTCACATAAAGGCTGGTTGATGTTGGGATATGGAGCCTGATGCCTAGACCTGAGAGAGATATATTTGGAAGATATTTCGTAAACATGTGAAAGGGATATATATGGTAGATATTTGGTAAAGATTTGACAAAGATATATTTGTTAGATTATATCTTTAAATTTTTGGAAGCTATATTTAGTAAATTGAAACCATATATATACCCATTCGTCAGTGATCTCAAAATGCACTTCTTTTCATTCTTTGTATTCTCTATATTCTCTCCTTGTTGTACATATTTGAAGACCTTTAGCCAATATTACTCCTTGTATTTTTTTCTTTCTTGTCCTTTGTGTTATTTTGATCGAGTGTGTGCGTCGTTGATCGATCCTAACAATTGGTCTAAGAGCTAACAACTAGTATCGATCCTAACAACTGGTATCAGAGCGAGGCGAAATTCATCACGATCTGTGAAGATGGAAATTTCAAAGATTGGAATTGAAAAGTTTGATGGATTCGATTTTAGTTTCTGGAAGATGCAAATTGAAGATTGTCTGTACCAGAAAGGTCTTCACAAACCC